AGGGAGGATCGAACTCCCGACCCCTGGTTTACAAGACCAGTGCTCTGCCACTGAGCTATAGAGGCGGCGAGGGCCGGGGGTCTGAAATGACGTACACGTACTAGTATTTGCGATCGCGTTGCTTCGGTGTGCTGAAAATAAAATAATCTTCGCACTTGGCATGCGTATATCCATATTTGGTTTCCCTGAAACTGGCTTATTCCAAATCCCTTTTGTGTATCACAATTAGATGCCCTGATGATGGACGAAAAACAAGTTGAAGTAGCCCAGAAAATTAGAGCCGCAACATTTATTCGTCTTCATCCATCGTTCTTCTTTCATGAATATCGTTCTTTTTCTCTCAAAAGTCCTGTTGAAATTAGGTACGACAGAGAGGTAAGTTAATGCATATTCAGCGTAGTATTTGGTCGTAAGCGTGCATTATCCCGGCAAATAATTCAAATATCTCCAACATCGCACATCGGCACATACCTAAGGAAAGCGTCACGGCTGAGCCGCTAGGCCGCTACCAAACCAACGAGACAACACGTGCAGAACAGAACCCATTTGTGAGACTCACACTACGTCAGCTTCTCGACAGGAGCAGCATGACGATCTCTCTACAACGGAGTTCGATTGGTGCCGTTTGGAGGAAATGGTCAATGGTGCGTCTATATATGGCCTTGGGTGCGACCATTTCCGAGATGGAGTCCGGCTGCGTGACAGTGTATGGGACTGCGCCTATAGACTGCAGGGCGGCCGAATCGCGTCCAGTGTCTCGGCAGAAAGCAAAGTCATTGGCCTCGGAGATAACAAGCTCAATCTGAGAAAAAAAAAATGCCTAAGAACTTGTTGGAAACGGTAGATTTATTGTACCTCCTGGGTTGCGGAGTCGATGGATATTCGGTGACTCGTTCACGTCGCGTGATGACCTACGGGGCTAAGCTTTAATTCTTATTTAATATTTCTTGCCCTAATGTGTTTCAAGAATGACATTGCAATTTGCAAATATGATAGCTTATAAATAACACACCAGCTAACCTTACCTATAAGCAGGTTTTTGGAGCAGATGCTGTCTTCTTCTGATCGCTTCTCACGCTCAAAACGCTGGTCCAAAAACAGAAGTTTAGCCTTACCTTCGACATAATATGCCTTCGCCTTTTGTTGCTAACTGAAGGTAATATCTTCCAAAAAAAAAAGACAGCAGTTCAGCTTTGAGCCACACAATGTTCAGTGTGTCCATGGAAACAGACATGAGTATGAACACTGCAATTGATGACCGGCTGACCGCATGCGACCCAATCGTTCGGGAGGTGTCATGCCCTGATACCGCAATCTAACCAACACTATATAGCAGCTTCGTTTTAAACGTGGGATGCAGGTTGCAGCCCCACTTATCATAAGTAACATGGAGGACTGTCCCTGTTGCCCAATGGCCAAGTTTCACGAAGTGGTCTCGTTTCGTTACATTTAGTAGTTACGATGCCTCGCTTGTCTGTAGAGTGTAGACTGTAGTAAGTAGGTTTTGAAACATTCATCATGCAGTTTTCGGAGAGCACGAGACATGAATGAACCCCTCGGTTATTTGCTAAAAGGATGTGAGTGTTCAATGGACTGGGTCGTCTGTCAAATGCCGACCGACCCGTGATCCAGTATATAACCTTTTGAGATGAATTATGGATGTCCGTGAAAGCTTTTTGCAATTTTAGGTGAACATGACAGCTAGTGCTCGAGTATGGTATGACACATGGCCTGGTTCAGACTTATTACGGAGCGAGCGAAGCGAGCGTAAGGGTAGTCTTTCCTTAGATTAACGGAAATTTCTGAGTATGAGCGGCCGGCCGGCCGGCCGTGCGGACGCTTTTGCGAGGTTTATACTCGTATCTCGACAACCACTTGACCGATTTACATGCGGTAATTTTTGTAGGGTAGCTTCATTCCTTCTACCAAGTATTGGACTATTCCCGATGCATGTGGGTGACCCCTTATGCACGTGCCACCGGCCACGTGCAAAACGAAGAGGTGTCAGTTTTGTAACTGTTGCAATATCTCGGTAACTACTTGGCCGATTGCGCTGAAAGTTGACATATAGGTAGGCACCCACTAGGCACTGCATATCCATGTGCCAGAGTTGGGGTGCTGCTGCACGTGCGCACGTGCAGGGGTCGTTTCCAGATCTCGAGAACGGCTCGACCGATTGCGCTCAAATTTGGTACACAGTTAGGGATCGGCTAGTAGGGTTCCGTGCAAAAGTCAGTCGGGGCCCATTTTGCACGTGCGCTGGGCTGCAGGGTGCCGCTTCCAGATCTCGAGAACGGCTGGGCCGATTGTGCTCAAATTTGGCACATCGCTAGAGACCGGTTAGTAGGGTGCCGTCCACAAGTCAGTTGGAGGTACCCCCTCGCAATTTCGCACGTGCAAAGCCCGCCCTCTCGCTCGCTCCGTTAGTCGCCCCAAAAGGCGTTATACTGGTACTTAAAGTTAGAATTGAAGTCATCAATTTACCGAAGCGTCATCTGCATAAAGCATATCGTTTTTGTAATATTTGGGCACCCTCATCCAAAGACCTCTTGAGAGTTTCAGACTTTGGTGTAGACTAGGCAATAAATAGGTATAATTGTGCATGTTCTGTTCATTTCATACATGCCACCCGCGCTCCCGTCCGCACGCTACCTGTAATTCCTATCTACTGCAGTGCCGCGCGGCAGATTGAGTTGACAGCCAGAACTGTAAGATCCTCGCACCACCTTTGATCTGCTCGGATAGCGATCCCAGATCCGAGCGCTTCACATGTCGTCAGTTTCCCGGCACTACGGCTTCCTGTGTAGGCAGGAAGCGAGCACAGGTCTGGCCTGGGCGATGTGGCAAGTGTTTCATTTCGAAACGATCAGCTTCCCAGTAGCAGCAGTGCTGCGTCTAATCATTTTGCTGATTATCATCAGTGCATTCGTCGGTCGCAGGAAAGTGCCAGGCTGGATTAGCTCTGCCTATACAATGCCTTTGAATATAAATCTGTATGTTCATACCCTTGTTCATGGGTTATATGGCCTTGTTCATACCTATGGATATTGTATGTGGCAATTGACTGATAAGAAATGTCTAAGACAAGGGAAAGAGGTGGTGACAACGCTTATTGTAAGTAGTCTTTAATATGATTCGATTTGCTCCCTTGTACATACAACACATTATGGACACAATTGTGCAGTTTTTATACTGCATTTCTTATTGTGGCGAGAGAACGAATAAGGAAAAACATATCGAGAAAAGGAACTGATTTGAAATGATTGAGAGTGACGTTACTCGAAGAAAATTCAACAATATCAAACTGAAGAATGGATGAATGAAAACCAATATGAAAGAATGGATGAATGAATGAATGAATAAATGAATGAATTTTTGAATGCATGGACGGCTGGGAGGTCAGTTAAATTGACAATTGTACTGATATTTTACGAACGCCACTTGCTAGATAAGTAATAACCTCGGTTCTCTTTCAACAGGCGTAAGTGCATTGCTTGTGCATTTATGTGTGCTGCTAATATAGTTAGTCCATCTATCATTGGCTGCAAAATGGGACTAAAAGTTTCGCATCTATGCATTCTCAGGGTTTTATCTTCTCGTATCCTTTTTCTCCATAGCTCAAAACATACTTGTGGGTTTCAAGGCATTTTAATTGTAAGTAAAATGCCTCGACTCGATAGATGTGTGAAATGTCACACCGACAGTCCGACACTACTCTGCCGGATCAGCATTTCTCGGAGCGGGTGGGTTCAGTTCGACTGTAGCGGTATCATGCGCGCCCGGCCGTTTTCAGAAATGTCTTCAGTATCCGTGTGCCGTCGGTCCGCGGGCGCGACGGAGCGTTTAGTCGCCCCATTCGTCGACAGGGTGTGTCGACATGACGGCGGCACTCTGCCCGCCGCATACGGCAGTCCCTCGGGGGACTCGTGAACGTCGAGTCATGAGTCTGCCTGTCCGCGTAGGCCGCCCACAGTCGTAAGCGGCCTTTCTGGCGTCCGACACCGCCTGGGTTGAAGTAGGATCATCCCGACGTTATGCGTCGCGTCGCACGAATTCCTCCGCATATCTATTCATTGTGTGGTTTGCGCGTCTTGCATGTCAGCCGCACAGCGCCTGTCGATGATCGTTGTTCTTACGAAAAAGATCGTCTCCCTATGGGGTCTGAATGGCTTCAATTGTGTTCGTCAGCCTCTGAGACGAGGTCGAGGTTATTTGAAATAGCACGATTTGAACTCACATTCGGGAAATAACAGAAGCTCTTTGCAAATGATCCGGGAACCGCATGCTCTATATTCCTCTTTTTGAGGCCGCAGCGATGGGACAGTGAATGGGAAGGCCTACTGACGAGTACATTACGTAAAGATGTAATGCACGGTAGCCCTCATACATATCAACTACATGTAGTCCCATCACCCAGACGTCCCAGCCCTCTTACCCATTCTGCCGACAAGAACAATGTCGATTAGCTGTCTGGTCTGGTCAGTGTTAGCCGTTAGGATTAATCTTTCCAGTTTTTTTTTTTGCGTTCCTTCTGGAGCAGGTAATTCCGATGAGCCATATCCCGCCGGTCCTACCACCCGTGTTCACTGCGCTTTCACCTTCTGCTGGGCTGCCGTTTCATGGGACTGGAGTAGTTTAGGCGGTGATGAATGCAGACCGTTATCGACTTTGATTGCCGTAATGTCACGGATGATAGCGATGTGATTATTAAGTCCGTCTGCTAGGAATTTTGCCGTCGGGATGAACTAATGTGGTGTGTATCGAGGAGCTATATGGTGTACAATTGATCGTTATCGTGAAGAGTTACTATGAAGATTAGTCTGTCCTTCTGCTCTCGCTTAGGGGAATGCGTGTCTATTATACTCTATTACAAAGTTTTTCCGGCTAACCCATATAAAGTTCGACTGGCACTGGGCAGTTCGGGCAAAGGCAGTTCGACGGCCGATTTGCCCATCTCCACTGTTACTCGTCTTCTTCGCCTATCCCACCAAACACCCTGCACAACTGCATAACTGTTATATATTCGGCTTTCAACCATACAGCACTTTGAACAAACGTGGCCGGCAGCTCGGGCGGCGGAGAGCCCAGCCACACACTCCCCGCACGCCGCGCGCGGCCGGCAGCGCTCCAGTGACGTCACAGGACCTCAGTATGACGTCACTGGACCTCAGTATGACGAGCCCGGCGCCAGCCCACCGAGCAGGGCCGGCGCCTGATGCGCGGTCAAGTAGAAGTGAGATATACATTGGTGGCATAAGGAGAAGGCGACTTTACGTGGGAGCGACACAGGTCGCCGTGGTTGTAAAGCTCATGCGTAGATGGCTTCTGTAAGTTCTGTAACGTGATAGCTCTCGAGATCGAAGGCGCTGATTGAACAGTGCATTTCCGACTGGTTTCGGATGTCAGTGCTGCGGCTGTGCCGCGTTTTTCGCGGCTGAGCGACTGATGAAATAGAGAAACATCCGGTAGCGCCAAGATTGGTATGGCGGTAGTGGTGGGCCGTCGAGGCAGATCATTGTAACGGAGTGGCCATGGCCAGCCTCTGATCCATCGCAACTCCGTTACCGATACGCTTCTGCCGTCTCTCAAACGTAACACAATGTCGCTCATACTCAAAACATTGCAAAGATGATGCCGATCGCTCGAAACCTACCCATTTAAAACGTTGTCCCTTCAAGCCCAAGCATCGCCGGAGTCTAGGTCCTGTTCGCAGACAAGCGAATGGTGACCGTTTTGTCAAAAGACAGGTATGTACACATTCGACTGTCAACACCACACATAAATGATCTGATCGATATTGGCAAACGTTGCTCTTTTAAACCCAAGTTTGCACACGCCTTGGCAATTTGCAGCGGCGACACAGCTGCCTACCAGCGTGCCGCCTTTATGGGACATGGTGCAGCTGTTTACCAATTGGCCTAACTAAGGTTTCACTAGCTAGCGTAGTTCATGAATTTTGAGTGCGGGATCATTGGTATCGAAGTCTCGTTTACAGGTATTGAACTACATACATCTGCAAGGTATTTAGCTACAAGTCAAACCCTAGTAGCTTGTTTTTCGTTCGCTTGATGTATTAATTGTCTCACGAGTCTGCCTGCTCCAGCATTAACGTAAAAAGAGCTTCACTGAAAGACGTTGAGCTGATGCGAGCACGCCTATTTCGTGCCAGTTCTCAGTGTTTTAAGCAGGGGCGTTGGATAACCTGTGTCCGACGGATCACATGGTCGTGCTTTGGTACATGAGCTCATCGTCGAAAGGTCTGCCAGTTGATGGCCACTTTTATATGCTGCAAACGTATTTGGTATGCTGCGGGAACATACTAGAAGACGTCACACGGATCAGTCCGGGCACAGTGCGCTATCATGGAAAACGATTCGCGGACATTCGGCACAGCTCACCAGACCGATCGCCGCTCGACTTGGCTCATTTTGGGCCGCCTCGGCACCCCCTCGGCAATCATTCCGGAGCGGCACCTCCATCACCAGACCCAACCCGACACCGCAGTCACGACCTCGCGCCATCAGTCCGGACCTGTGCGGATGACCGCGCGGCGACTACAGAGCTCGACTCGCCCATCTCCCTGAGGTGGCGCATCGTCCTTCAGCCGACCTCCTGATGTCCTGTCGGTGGTTCGTTGAATCCGTCAGTCTCGGTTGTGGTCGATGGTGGTTCCGTTTGTTTCTGTCTTGCATCCAATGTCCCTGTATTGTCCCTCCTTTTCCCATCGTTCGCCCCTCGTTCGCCCAGCCCGGCCCGGCGGATCCGCTCAGCTCCTACCGGCCGATTTTGCCGCTCGCCTCTTTCCGAACTTCATGAAGCCGTAGTCTGGCGAGCGTCGACCGAACTTCATGAAGCCGTAATCCGGGGAGCGCCGGCCAAACTTCATCATGCCGTAGTCGGGGTTGCGTTTGGCGTCGGCGAGCTGTTCGCCGGGCTCGCTGGCGGACGCGAGGCTCGCCGTCCGCTTGCCGAAGCGCAGGTGACCATAGTCGAGCGCCCGCTTGTCCTCGTAATCGTACAGGTCTGGCTCAAAGTCCTCGAACAGGGGTCCGACGCGCTGCCGCAGGAGAACGGGGTCAGTTGGACAGCGTGAGCAGCCACAGGGCACTGCTCTGAGCCTCTAGTAAAACCAGTAGTTGTTATGAAAAAACATTGTTAAGATATGCTTACTCAAGCCTTATTTGAAGAAAATGAATAGATAAATGCGTTAGACATCAAGAAGAGGTTGGGACGTGTTAGGCGCTCGAAAAAAATGCACTATGGCATGCTTTTAGTGTTCAGCACATATGCATAGTCCATCTTTTTAGCACATCCGTCTTTGCCTAGCCTCGCTAATATAACCATTAATCGTGCTCGATCCAGCGCAAAGATGACTTCGTTTGTCACCCGGTTTGCGATAATGAGCGAGTTTATTGAACAGTACGATACCGGATGGTGTGGACTGTGGCCAGGCAAATATAGAAGGAAAAAGCCGTTTGTTGATAACGACATCAAATGCTTGGACGTGGTTTTGTGATAATGTAACCCGTGTCAATACCCATGTGCTACCTGGCGCTGCGAACGAGTGATTATGTTTTATGTGTACGAGGGCTGCCCTGCGTTCGATGAAGGTGTAAGCTTGAATGTGTGTACCAGATCCATTATCAATAGTGTCATGTGCCCAAGCGATCTATAAGCTCAGCATGAAAAGAAACCGTAAATTATCATTAATTTTTTAATCTAATTTCCTTTTTTGGGGGGGGGGACTTAATTACTCTAGTTGTTAAGGTACAGGTATGTTAAAGTTAAAGGAATCGAAAGACATTGCACGTCTTTAAACGTTGTGCAAGTTTTAAGCGATGATTTCTAACAAGCCTAGAACCGAGGCATTCAATTCAGACTTGCCATAACGTCTGCGTTTGGCCTGCCAATATCGGCCACAGCTGCTGAATGAAAGATTGGGACTCCTCTCTCGAGTTCCGAGGGCCATTTTGTTACACGCTGGCATTGCACTTTATTAGTCTGGATGACCACGTTTATATCGATCCCTGGGGGACGATCATAAGTCCGCCGTGTCGCGTGCCGCCGCTCGATGCCGCGGGTGGGACAGAGTAGGCGCGATACATTGGCGTCTGCCAGTGGACCGCAGTCAGAGTCGATCAGAGTCGATCACAGTCAAGCACGGCTCCCCGGTCACCTACCGCGCTACTGATGAAGTGCTCCTGGTCGGCCCTGACCAGGTGTTGCCGCCCGGACAGCACGGCTATCATCAGGATCACAGGTAGACAGCCCTCGACCAACATCCTGAAACGAAACGGCAGGGTATCTCAGCATACGAGGCGCAGTCAACTGACTCAGGAACACAGAAGTCAAATAAGGGTGTCTAGGTATGTGTGTGTTACAGTTGTACAAGGCGCAATGTGCTATACCTCGCGGCTAGGGATCTGATTCAGCATGCCGACCGGATATTGTTCTGGCGAGCGTGTTCGTGCCCTCACGAAGCCAGTTTGACAGAAATACTATGGGAACGAGAGGAAATTCCACGCGGTCTCAATCGGGGCGCAATCGTTAATGGCAGCTGCCGCACTCTCTTATTGGAGACGTATCTTTGGGTCAGTCTCACATTATCGTTTGGGGCGTCCGAGTTCCAATCGAACGCCCACGGCACGAATCACACGCCATATGGTTTTGTTGTTGGTATTTATATGGTGATAGGATACAGCGTATTATTTACAGCTTCAGCGGATCAGTTCTTTGATTGCCCTGCCAATTTGAGGTATTTACCGATGCACCGAACCAACAGCAATGTATGATAAAACACAAGTTCATGATTTTACTCCGGAGTGGGCATGGACGTATTTGCAATAAGCAATATAAACATTCATTGCGATCTAAAGCACTTAACAATAACATTGGCGATGTCACTGGCGGATCCAAAGGGGGCATTGGGGCCAAATGTCCTCTTCGCAGTGCCTAAAATCGATGAAAATCCGTCGTTTTTCATGAAATTAAACTAGAAAGAAAACTCTGAACAACTTAAATCAGGAAAAATTAGACTTTAACTGAACAGCAGTGCACTAGGAATCGAGATCCGAGACGTTTTTTGAAATTTAGGGAAACTTTTTCTTGGTATGCCCCCTCGCAGCGTCCAGACCGTCTTTCTTGATCCGCCTATGTGCAATGTTATACTTGGAAATCAATCGTCCAGTGACGGTAAGCAGCACTCGCCCTTCATGTGATGCGTGGAAACACGCGAGATACTACACTATAGGAGCACATGATCTAACTGATGAACCACCCGAGCTTACATCGAGTGCAGCTGACGCGTCCTGGCATTTCTCAGTCCGACATCCACTCCCCAGTCTCCCCAGAATTCCATCAGATTCTCAGTCATTGCCTCAGCGATCTGCTCGCGTCTCCGCTCGCTCTCCGGTCCTCTCCCGAGCGGACCGTCACCTGTTTACCCCAGTCCGGCGCGGCTGCTCACCGCGCTCACGTACGCTGCTCACCGAGCTCACGTTTGCAAGAAGTCGCTGTTGACCGCTGTCCCGCGCCCGCGGCGCTCGTTGTTGACCGGTTGAGAGTCGGTCTGCCGACTCTGACGGAGCTATCGCCTCCGGCGACAGATGACGGCACGAGCCCGGACTACCGACCCCCCCCCCCCTTCCACCCCCGCGACGGGCTGAGTCGCTCCGGTCCCCGCCGCTCGCGTCTGCACCGCTCGGCGTTCTCTGTATACCTACCCACGGTATTGTCAAGGGATAGTATCAGGAGCTGTTGGCGAATCGCCTGCCTCTCAGGGGTATCATGTGACAGTGACTGCCACTCCCGGCCGCCGCGAGCCATTCCAGGCACTGAGTGCGGATGCATTTGTGTAGGTATTTTGTTACAGGAGAGGCGTTTTTGGTGCGCCGTTCATCCTCCACTGGGTGGTCCCGTGTGACTGTGTCAGGGAAACTCTGATGACGAAACATAATTATTTCCATCATAGAATGAGTTGTCGCTGAGCAAAATATCGTGACAGGCACTGTCAAGGACAAGAAGACATGCTCGATATTTGATACGATCGGTTGTCGATGTCTATCGATGATTCCCCGCCCATCCCCACTAACCTCGCCCCCGTTACGGAAGCGATGGCCATATGTTGGTCGCTGAAGCCCTACAAACTCTATTCATACCGCTGTCACGAGCAGGGTCAACCCATGGAACAAGCCGAGCCCGAGGCAGACCGCGTCGCAGGCCGACCACAAGCTGACCCAACCGGAGGGCCCGAATGCAAACGACGAGATTGGCCATTGGATACTTATTTGTATTTACGGCGTGCATCTGTGGTAATTAACCATGGTAAATGCCTAAATGATCAGCTACATGCATACTCAGTAGCATAATGCATGCTTACTTGAACCATCTTCGGCGCACTAAGTTCGAAGTTGAGTTCTAGTTAGGTCTTGTGCCTGCTTAACCTCCTAGATCTGCAATGCAGCATCGTTTCAGGACATTGCCGCTGGTCCTAACCTACATATCGGGGCAGCGCTCTGCGCTTCGATGGCAACCTTTGCGGATGTCCCGAGGGTGGGACGCTAACCAGCTAACGGGGCGCCGACCGTGTCGTGCCTGATGGATCGGACCAAGCTGTCCTGAGGTGACCGGACTGATGTGCTGGCGGGAATGCGCAGCACGGACTGTGATGGGCTACCGGATTCTGTAGAATCAGGGCCCGAAAATATCACCTTGGGCTTACTTCTGGTTTCGTGTGACTTCGTCTCCTGAGCACATTTGAATAGTCATGTCTGATGTATCCGTAGGAATATAGAGGAAGGCATAGTTACTTACCAAATAAGCACCACCAAACAATTATCAAAGCCAGTGTTTTGTAAAGGGATCCTTATCAAAATATACCTCTGTCTTTTCACGCTTTTTCATGTTTGTTAGAGTAATAACATTTATTTTGCGGAGTAGGCTGGTTGCTGGTATGCATTGTATCATACGATACATTTTAAAAATCCCGTGCTATTTTGGCGGTCTAATTCATTGATTGAAACGAATCGTTTATCACATTAGCTGTCTGGTATCGCTTACATCTCCACACCTCCCTTTTCCTCTAAAGACACCAAGCCACGCATCCAGTCGCATCAGGTCAGACGGCTCCGGCGGGCCGAGCGAGCGAATGCCGTCAGTCGCTGGAGACCGTCCCCCTGTAACTGTGCGCTAAGTGGTCGCTCCTCCGGCACCGCGCGGCGTGTCAGCCGCGGTTGGCGGAATCGCTTCAAGGGCCGCTCTGATTCCCCCGAGTCAACAACCGGTGGAATTCATCTCGCCATTGGACACTGAAGCTGATTCAATAGTCACTGAGATGAATGTTTGAACAGGCCGGCTGAGCAAGCGTCTAAAGTTGACAGAAACGGATTCGCTGCCGTCATGCAGATGTCCACTTAACCGGCGCTTTTCGCACGTAAACGCCCATCTAAAGCGCCTGTTGGATGTTTAACCTTATAATATAAAGGTGGCAGTCAGGTGTTGCATGTGGATCATAGCACATAACACCTATAAATCGTGGTGATACATGAATACCACATGGTCCCATGACGCTGAAACGTGATAACTAGGGCAGCGGCAAACCGCTTGGAGATAAAATGATTCCATTTTTTCCCCTTCCGGACTGAAATGCTATTCAAAACAATATCGAGTGGACACTTAACGTCCAGCCACTGGGCATTGAACGTGGAGTTTTCTTTGGATTATTTGCGGAGAAATCGCACTGATAAATTGTAATATCGCTTGAAAGCACGGCACACAGATGTGTTTTTAACTCATAAGTTCCGCAGATTCGGAGCCCTCTCCCGAGCTCGGCCGAAAATTCCCCTGAGAATCTGACTGTTGGTGGTTCCCTGTGAAAACAGCTCGCCTCAGCACTCAGCGGTCCAACGGACACCGGCATAGGCCAAGGCCATCTATAGAAGGTACAGTCACTCCCCCGCCGACCAATCAGAGACAGATCCTGAGTGACGTCACCCCTGATGCTCGCAAGGGGTACTCCATTCCTTTATAACGTAAAAATGACTAACTTCATTTGAAGATTATTGATGGCACTCTACACATACCGCTCAACCGTTGATGGCAATCGAAAGCTCAACCAATTTTCCAGCGACAAAAAAGAGTAGCAATATGCTAAGAAATGGCCGGTTTTTAAGATATAGACGATTTAAAAACCCTCTGCAGCAGCAGGAAAGCAACGTAAAAACGCATCGAGCTTATATTTTTACTATGAATAAATCATTTTTCAGTTAGTTTTTAGATATGGTATAGATTTAAGCTACAACTTTATTACAATATTTCCATTACTTGAAACTTTATTTCAAAAAAGTATTTTCAAAAATGGCAGCTGTTGGTAAGTAGCTTGGGAGCGATTGTGGCGCACCGCGCCATTAATTGTCCTGAGGCCCCCTTATGATGTCATCAAAAGTGGAGTGACATGGGCCTGGGCATAGGCCATCTGTCAACAGAGAGGGACGCTACGTCTAAAGCTGCACTAGCAGGGAGGCGGCCCGGTCTTGCAGCTATCAATATTCCTAACCTGAGCTTTAGTTACCAACAGAACACACGTGTCTGATTGGTTGTCTGTGCTATCATTTTTTTTTAGTTTTAGAATTTGGATCCTGTTTGTGTGATTTGATCCTAAGGGCGGCAACGATACTTTGCTAGGCTGATGATTAAAATATTGTGAGTTATACGAAAATCAAACAAAAATAGGTCGTCTAAACGCTTGAATATTCTCTCAGGTCGCTTCCGATAAGATTACGAACTGGGTTCAGGAATTTTCCTGCATTTAGTAATTACTAGAGGTACAGGTTTACGCGATAACTGTATGTTTTGATATGTATGATTAACGGATGCATTAGTTTGGGTGTAGAAACTTGCATTTTTATTGGTATTAGGTATTTGTGTAGAACTGGGTAACTGCTTTTAATTGAACTATAAAGTATGATGGTGATGCATGCGAGTTGTTCGAGCCCTTTGTAAGTTAGGATGTTACTCAATTCAACCCTACCCTACCCTACCCTACCCCTACCCCTACCCCTAACCTACCCTACCCTACCCTACCCCTACCCCTACCCTACCCCTACCCTACCCCCTACCCCTACCCCTACCCTACCCTACCCCTACCCCTAACCTACCCTACCCTACCCCTACCCCTACCCTACCCTACCCCTACCCCTACCCCTACCCTACCCTACCCCTACACTACCCTACCCTACCCTACCCTACTCTACCCTACCCTACAATCCCCTACCCTACCCTACCCT